CTCAGAGATAATTATTACTCTTAATTTTGTGCTAATCCATTCCTTTACTTTTCTGTGTAGTTTTAGCATATGTTTATGTCCCTAAACAATATAGTTTTTGAAAGTGTTATTATATATGGCATCATGCGTATGTATTTTTCAGTGACTTGCTGTTTTTGGTCAGCCTTTTTTCTTGAGATTCAGTCTTATTGTGTATGGTTCTAATTTATTAATTTTCACTGTATAGCATACTAGAATTGTCATAATTTATTCTTCCATTCTTCCGTTGACAATTGTTTCTAATTTTTTTTCTATTACAAACAATGTTGCTAAGAACATTCTGGTATATACTTACTGGTGTACATGAGCAAGATTTTTTCTTGATATTTGATTAAGAGTAGCTTTATTGAGTTACAGAGAAAGTTATTCTTAAACTCTATTAGATAAAGATAATGCCAAATCATTTCTCAAAGTGGTTAACAAATTTACATTTCCATCATATTGCACTCAACCTAAGAACTGGACTTTACCAATAACTTACATATATTTCTCTTCCCCCATCCCATTTCTATGTACTTTTCCTACAGATAATCTCTATCCTGTTTGTGTTTATCTTAACTTTCTGAAAAAGGTATATAATACATACGACTATACAATAAATTTTTTGTTTTACTTGTTTTTGGCCCTGTTTTAAAATGAGGTATCTCTGGGATGTGTTTTTTATTTTATTTTATTTATTTGAGAGAGAGAGAGAGAACAAGTTGGGAGGAGGGGGAGGCAGAGGGAGAGGGAGAAGCAGGCTCCCTGCTGAGCAGTACCCCCTCCACCCCACCCCATGCAGGGCTGGATCCCAGGACCCTGGGATCATGACCTGAGCTGAAGGCAGATATTTAACCAGCTGAGCTACCCAGGTGCCTCTGGGACTTGTTTTTTTTCACTTAACATTATATTACTAATGTACATTAGTACATTCCTTCTCATGCTGTATAATTTATTAATATCTACATTTTATTCTTCTGATGAACATTGTTATTGGTTACTAATTTATTAATATCTACATTTTATTCTTCTTCTGATGAACATTGTTATTGGTTACAAAATAATATTAACAACCACTGATAGAATACTCACTATGTCCTAGACTTTTTTTTTTAAGTGCTTTATACATATTATCTCCTTTAAACCTCACAAGAACCCTTTGAGGTAGGTACTGTTTTATTCTCATTTAGCAGATGATGTAATTGAGGCAAGATGGACCAAGTAACTTGCCCAAGGTATCACAGATATCTAGTAGTTAGGTCCAGAATTCAGATCTAGGCTATCTTTAGTCGGCTTTTATGCAGTGTGTTGTTTTGGATTCTGAAAATGTAGACAAGACCTCTGTCCTCTCAGACCTTTAAAAATAAAAAATGGTAACTGTTTAAAGACACAGTATGTTTTACTATTTTATTTATAAGGTTTTAATGTTGAGAAAAAAATTGTAATCTTTGCTTTATTTGATTTTAATTTGAGAGCTAAAATGAATTTTGGAATGTACTTCAAACTCTAGCAAACTAAACTACGGGATTCTGTGAATGCACTTCTTGAAAACACCATCTTTATTCAGTACAATAGCTCATAGTACTCACATGTGGATATTAGCACCATCTACTGGCAATGGGAAACAATAACTTGGTATGTCATAGTAAAGTATTGTTTGGAAGATAATGTATACTTTCATAGGATTTTTCTTTTTGAAACCTGTTTCTGGGGAAATTAATATTTTGTAATTTTTCTGTGTACTGGGATTTGTGGCCCATTTGGTTTCCTCAAACTTCCAAGTATTAAATTATGTGCATATGTATAACTGTGACTGTATTGTTTTGAGGACAAATACAAGAAAAGGCGTAGTTTTATAGGTCTGTTATTCTCCAGTATTTTTCAAAGCATACATAAAATACACAAACTTATTAATTTGTTAGAGTAATAAGAACAAGAGAAAAGCTGTCATATTGGATTAACATGAACTGTATTTAATTTGTAATTTGTTTTGGTTTAGTTAAGTAATGCTGTTTTTTTGTAGTCAGAGGAGTAGAATTAATAATAAAGTGAAAACAAGGTTCTCTGATTAACCATGGGAAGAGTCTCTCTGCTCAGCTCTAGGTATTTACCTAAATTCTGTTTTCATCTTTCCTACTTAAACTGGTTTAGCTTTCATTTGTCAATGGTCTGGCATCGTGTTGTATCCTATTTTAGACTAACTTCTATTATTTTGAACTATTCTTTGCTGTTTTTTCTTTCACCTTTGTGACTTAAAAATGTATGAGAAATCAGTTGCCTTCTTATTCTTTCTTGTCTGGTGTTCCATTTCTTCTCCAGTGTTTTCTTTAGACACTTTATACAATGAAAGTTGCCTTGGATGTGATGATTTTAGTTAAGAGGTGAAATGATGTCTTTACAAAAGGAGGGATGTGGTGATTGCTTAATGAGTATTGGTTGAGTGGTTCATTAAGGGAATTTTAAAAAGCTAACTTACCTTATAGAGCAAGAATGGCTGTTTAGGGAGCCGTTTGTCTGATTTGTTTACTTGTGAATCTACTGAGAACAATAAACAGTTGTTTTTTTGCCCTGTGGCTATTTAACACTTGAATGAGAATTGTTTTCTGTTTAAAATGTTAGCTTATTATAGGTATACTTCAGCAATGTCTGATTAAATAGGATAAAGCCTTGTTTATTTAAAAATAGCAATAATTACAGATTTTAGCTCTTATGCCATAATGTCACATAGTTGAATATAAAAAGTCCAAGTTGCTAATAGTTTAGGTTTTTAAACTCATTTTAAAGATAGTCATGCGTAGAAAACAAAAATGGGGTCATTATACTGTATTCTTTTAGTTTTTGTTGTTTCTTTGAGTGTTTTACTTTTGAGCATTCATTACTGCTAAAGTCAAACCTAGTTCTCCTTTCTTAATCTGATCTATGGTGGATACCAAAGTATTTTTATTATATCTTAAAATATTTTTAAAAATTCTTATTTTGGGCAGCCTGGGTGGCTCAGTGGTTTAGCGCTGCCTTCAGCCCAGGGCCTGATCCTGGAGATCCAGGATCGAGTCCCACATCAGGCTCCCTGCATGGAGCCTGCTTCTCCCTCTGCCTGAGTCTCTGCCCCGCCCCCCCGCCCTGTATCTCTTATGAATAAATAAAATCTTTTAAAAAATTGCTTATTTTACTTGTAACCTTTTCTTCCAGTACTTAAATCGACTTCCTTATTCTGTGTTTAGAGAGGTGGGTAGAGGCTCTCAAAATATTTGGACATGTAAAATTTTTAAATGAATTGTTTTTAAAATGCTTTTTATTACTCTCAGATAATTTATTCCTTTCCCTTGAACTCTTTATCAACTGATTCTTTGATTTGACATATTTTGTATTTTGTCTCCTGATTAACTGCTAATAAATTATTTAATTTAGAGCTTCTTTTCATCATGCTGAGTTTTAGGTGAGGAGATAACAAAATGAATGATTACTGACATCTAAGGACTCTTCTGATTTATTATGAGATTTACTCCCTTTATATGTTATAGAAAAAAATTTGTAGAGATGTTGAGGCATAAGAATTGATTATTTTAATTGTACAGAGCCATCAGAATTTAGTGAACTGAGAATATTAAAAAGAAATTCCCAAAGTCAAATGTACATTATAGTATTTGAATGGGACCTTGAAGAATAGGAAGGCATTGGTAGGTGGAGATGAAGAAGAAAGAGTACTTGAGCCTGAACAAACCCCATTGCTTCTTGCACTGGATCTCTGAAGTAATATTTTAACAAATAAATTTCATATTCCATGAATACTTTTAGGAATTCTGACTTTATGAATCATGAATTGCAGTTCTTTTGGAAGACCTATAATATTATGTTCTGCTTTAAGCATGAAATTGTCTGCCAGGGTATTTTAGAAATGGGAGAAAAAACACCAGTGTGTTTTCCAGTTAATGCTGTTAGTAGACTGAATAGGTACTTAGAACAAATTAAACTTCAAAAAATAATGTACCTGGGCAGCCGGGGTAGCTCAGTGGTTTAGCGCCGCCTCCGGCTCAGGGCGTGATCCTGGAGACCCCGGGATCGAGTCCCATGTCGGGCTCCCTGCATGGAGCCTACTTCTCGCCTCTGCCTGTGTCTCTGCCCACCCCCCCCCTTCTCAATCTCTGTGTCTCTCATGAATAAATAAATTCTTTAAAAAAATAATAATTTACCTGAGAGAGTGAGTTATTTTTAAACTAGTATCACAATTTAATTGAAGAACGAGTTTCATATTTTTTTTTACCTGTATGTAAAAATATTTTTCCTCAACACAAATCTGTCTCCTGAGAGCTATGACCTTTCTCTGTATTGGTCCTAGTTTATGTTCTGCACAGGAGGGTACAGGTAAAGATTTTAATAGGGTTGAAATGGAGCCCTTCTCAGCTACTAAGGGCTCTTCTCTAACTCCTTTTCCCAGAAGACAAAGACACTCCATTTAGAGAAGTCCCTACCTTAAAAGTGATTGGTACCTTTACTTTTTTTGTTAGTGGATTCAGCACCTACCATCTAGGAGAGTATAGGCACAAATTAGGAGTTCAGTAAATACTTTTTGCATATATAGACTATTCAGAAGTCCAAACAAGATGAAAGTCCCCTTTGATCATATCTTTTGGGCAGATTATTATGTATGCTTCCAGGATTTACAAAAATTGCCCATTCCATGGTCTTCTTGAAGTCAAATTCCTTGTTTATATGGATAATTCAGTTTGTTGTGCTTTGGAAAATTATTGCTGATATGCTGGGTTTTGATTTCTCTTTATTGCTGATCTTGTGATTTAATTGTTTAAAATCTAAGCTTACCTAACTAAATTGGGTATATGTTAAATAATTTATATTTATATATTACATTTATATATTACCATGTTATACTTAATATATTTAAAATTTTATAAAGTATTAAAATATTTATATTATAAAAACTTATATTTTGTTTATACATTAAAATATTTAAATTTTAATTTCAGGTATATTACATTTTTTTGCCCGTGTGACCTAGTTTCCCAGGGCTATTCTTTCCTACCTGTTCAACTCTTAGCTGCGGGAATGAAAGAAGTGACCAGAACTTGGAAAATAGTAGGTGGAGTGAAACATGCTAATAGCTATTACAAAAATAGCTGGATAGTCATGATAGCTATTGGATGGGCCCGAGGTAATATTAACATAATGTGTTTGTAAATATTCTGTTATTGATATGTTATTGCTACTGAACAATTCTCTAGTTACGTTAATGAGGACCACATACTTTAGTAACAGTATTTTGGGAAGAAAGAAGTCTTCTGTTCGCTAGTAAAGTTAATTCATAACTAGCACTTCATTACTAGTCATCAACCGTATTTTGAGCCTATCTTACAATATAAAATCTTTATCATTGGTTTGATTAGTAGCTCAGAACTAGAGGGACAAGTTGACTTAAGAAGTTATGTAAAAAGATTGTATTAAAAATTGCTCTTTTTTGTTTTTTTATCCCAACTAGAAATAGTATTTTAATATGATTGATTATGGATTCATCTTCACTCTATATCACTTACCTTTATTGTTGAGTTCTTTTATATGTAGAAGTTGAACAAATTTCTCTAATCTCTTACTATATTTTACTGCACCTAAAACTAGTACAGGGAAGGAAATGATAAAGCAGAAAGTTTTATTTTTCAGCCTGAAACAAACTCTTAGAAACATCTCTGTGCTTGAGGTTCAAATTTTTTTTTTGAGGTTCCAATTTTAACCTTAATTATGGTACAATAGACAGTTGCCAGCTCTGATGAATGGGAGGAGTTGCAATTGTCTCAGTACCATAAATGTACAAGAAAACTCTTTTCTTCCTCCTCAAAATTATATTTTGGGGATCTTCTTCGAATTTTATGTTAGTTGTTTCAAATATTTCCTCCATAAAATTTATCTAAAATTCTTGTTTTATTTTATTTTTAGGTGCGGGTGGTAGCATCATCACGAATTTTGAACAGTTGGTAAAAGGAGGTTGGAAACCAGAAGCTGATGAATGGCTGAAGATGTCCTAGTGAGTTGGTATAAACTATATCGAGACCGGCTTTTTATCCTTAAATCTTACCAAGTATCTAAATATGGATGCAATGAAGCTGAAAAAAATAGTCATGATAATGGGAAGAGAATCAAGAAACTTAATCTTTCAAGAAGTCTGCTCTCTCAAATGTAGTTTTTAAAATAAATATTGATTCTTTTCTCTGTGAGTTCCTCCCCTTAGAAACCAAAGTTCCTGGATTGTTATGGAATTGTGGGAAGAGTGTGTATTTATGGAGAGAGAAGTACATAGGAACACACTTCTGTGGATGGAGATGAATCAGTTGCAGGTTCTTGGCATTTTCATTAATGACTACAAACAACATCACTCAGATTTCAGATTTGCATGGTAGTAAAATGTTAAGTTTATGGGAACAAATCAATCCATTATTGTAAGGCCTTGTTGCTTTAAAAATGAGAGTTGAGCTTAATTACACATAAAAATAAAAGATTAGAGGAAATAAACCACTCTATATTTGTAGGGTGTATAGGTTACCTTTTGCATCCATTTAAGAGACTCTGATCATTAAATGCTATCTAAAGACACTGACTCTTTTCTTAAATAAGTCATGGGTGTATCCCTGATGCTCCTGCAAATGAAATAAAGAGATATAGTTACTGTTACCACAGTTCAAGAAGGAAAAAGACTTAGGGAATAGTGCCCATAGTAATAAGCAAGGTGAGGAAAGACTTTATTTTAAAATGGATTAAAAATGAAGGTTGAGAAGCAGTCTGTATGATGAAGTATATGTTTTTTTTGTGAACCAACAAATTCTATATTTAACTTTGAATGTACCCTTTTAAGTGTGAATGAAGTAGTGTAGAAATAGAACAAACAAGGCTTTGACTGATAAGTTAATAAATAAGGCATTAATGATATTCAAGGGAAATTTTTCTCATTTTGTCTTAAATTGTCTTTCATAAATGCCTTGAAAAGTCTTTCACAAAACATTTCTTGAGCTCTTATAACCAAAATCAATTTGTTTCTCCTTTATTCAAAACCTTGGAATGACTCCCCAGATGGCCTGTAAGACCTGTAAGATCTGTCTTTCTTCCATATCCTATTTGCTTTGACTTGATTTATTACTATTTTCTCCTTTGCTTGTATCCTGGAATAAGCCAGGTAATCTGTACTGTATCCTTGAACAAATTTACCACATAGTAGATACTCAGTAAACATTAGATGAATGAATTATCAGTTGATCAGGTGAGATTGATTACTTGTTCATTATGATATTCTGTGTATGAGTGTGTATATATAAATTTTCATTTATCTATTACCAAATACTTTTGCATAGTAGAGAAAGCCTATATGGTCTTAGAGAATATATATATTGTCATAAACAGAATGATGGTAGAATTATGAATGTTAAAGATCCTGGTGAGGGCTCAAAAGAGAATGAGGAACATGATATTGGAAATTGGAGGAGAGGTGACATATAGTGGGAGAAAACTTAGTTATGTACTACAGTTATGTGGAAAGTATAATTTGTGAACAGTGAACTTGGATATTTAGTTGAGATTTTGAAGCAGTGTTAAAGGTTTGGACTGGTTTCTTGCTGCTTTTAGTAAAGTGAGAGAGAAAAAGTTGAATTGAGGGGATAACTGCTTAACAAAGAAGCTAATATGATGATTTGGAAAATTCTCAGCCTATCCAGATTGCAAAGGTGATTAAATTAGGAGATTCATATTTAGGAAAGTCTGTTATGGAGAGAAGGTAAAGAGTGGCTAGAAAACTTTTGCTAGTGTTAAATTAGGTGTGTGACTCATGGATCCATTCAGCCATCACAGCACAAGCTAGGAACAGACATGAGATTATTTAGGAAAGATATGTGGAGGACCATCTTTTTTTTTTTTTTTTTTTTTTTTAAGATTTTTAAAATTTATTCATGAGAGACACAGAGAGAGGCAGAGACATAGGCAGAGGGAGAAGCAGCCTTCATGCAGGGAGCCCGATGTGGGACTAGATCCCCGGACTCCAGGATCACACCCTGAGCCACCCAGGTATCCCCTGTGGAGGACCATTTTAACTAATGTTTTAGATTCCTATGTCTTATGCTGCAGACCCACAAGGTTTTTGAAAATGTTATATCAGTAGAAGTACTGCCAGCTTGCCTGGAAAGGGACAAAGATGAGGTGAAATGAAGAGACTGTCAGACTCCCAAAATTCTATAGGCAGGAAATAGGCTGATAAAACTGCTCAGCTGCAAACATGTGTTACCTATCAAGAAAAAGGAAAAATGACTTTTGGCTGGGAGCCTCGGGCCTAGAGGTCTGAGGCCAGGCCCACAGTTGGAGTCCAGGTGCAAAGGCCAGAGCCATGGGTGCAGAATGGATAGGTGGACTCACTGGATGGAGCCTAATGTCACAGAGGATTATTCCCAGGCCTTGAAACCTTGAAACCTAATGGAGTTTGCCCTGCTGGATTTTGAAGTTGCACAGGACCAGTGACTTCTTTCTTCCTTTTCTTTCATTTTCTCTCTTTTGGAATGGAAATGTGTCTGTTACCCTATACGTATTCCACTGTTGTATTTTGGATGCAGATAAGCTCATTTTCTAGTTTCACAGGAAACTAATCTCAGAATATTCTAATTGTGTCCTGATCTTTCAAACCAGTTTCACTGACATTTTCTTAAATCTCAGCTCTTTTCCAATTCCCTGTCCCATTTTATTGTCTGCAAAATCCTTGCTTTTCAGATTCAGTGCTTCTGAATTTATGCTCTAAGGGAATGCAATCCAAAATGGAATGTGAATATGCTAAGAGGATACCCATGATGAGACACTATGGTACAGAACCCAAACCGTTAGAAACAAAAAATAGCAAAATGACATTAAGATAAACCTCATGCCTGCGACCCCTGGGTGGCTCAGTTAGTTAAACAACTGTCTGCCGTCGGCTCAGGTCATGGTCTCAGGGTCCTGGGATTGAGTCCCGCATCACAGCCAGCTCCCTGCTCAGCGGGGAGCCTGCTTCTCCTTCTGCCTGCCACTCCCCCTGCTTGTGGTCATTTTTATTCTCTCTCTCTCTCCCTCTCTGACAAATAAATAAAATCTTAAAAAAAGAGATTAACGTAATTCCTTTTTTTTTAATCTCATCCTTTAAAAATGTCAATTTGGAATACATTTTATAATACAGTTATATGTATATGTAATTTATAAGTTAATTGATAAACATGTATTTGTGTCTTAAAACACTTTTTTTGGTAATAATAGGGCTGCACAGTTAAAAAGTTTAGGGCAGCCCGGGTGGCTCAGCGATTTGGTGCCGCCTTCGGCCCAGGGTGTGATCCTGGAGACCTGGGATCCAGTCCCACGTTGAGCTCCCTGCATGGAGCCTGTTTCTCCCTCTGCCTGTGTCTCTGCCTTTCTCTCTCTCCTCTCTGTGTTTCTCATGAATAAATAAATAAAATCTTTAAAAAAAGAATTTAGAGAGACCACTGTTCCAAAACATGAGTGTTGCCCAGTCAACTGTTAAGCAAGGTCTAAACCCCTGTGGCCTACACCTAACCCTGTTTTGACTCAATCCTCAGCTTATAATAAATAAATAGTTAATTTTTCATGAAATGCAATTTGTCATATTTGCAATGTGGCATTCTAAGAGTTTATCATTTATCTTTCTCTAGTTGTAAGCATAAGCATAAAGCTAGATAATGATCTGTTACTGAGATACATACTTTAAATGTGTGGCAAATACATAATACGAAAGTAATGCTTTTGTAGATTAACATTTTATTATGGATGTTAAAGTTTCAGCATTCATTTATTAATAGGCTAACACTAATATTCTATGCTGGAGTTAGCAAAGTAATGTGCTGGATCTGGCTTCTAGTGTTATATGAGAGCTAATTGTGTGTATCTGTCTCTTTTCCATTCTGTACAGTAGCCTGAAATTTACCGTGATGGGAGTATTTACACCATGGAAATGGGAAAATACTAGAAATCAGGGCTTTCTTTTCCCACCCACCCAAAGGGTGCTTGTTTCATGCTATAATGACTAATCTCCTTTTTCTGAGTCATACTGTGGAACATGGGACTTTCATATCTTTGTGAAAAAGTATTATATGGTCAGATGTATTTCAGAAATACTGTATGTAGAAATGAACTCTATTGGAGAGTCACAATATTTATGAACATTCTAAGATCTCTGATATTTTATCAGTGAAATTATACTTTATACAACTTAGCACTTCTAAAACTTTACAAGTATATTAACAGAACTCATTTTTATCTGTTAATAACTCATTAAATTAATATTTTCCAGAGTACTCTTTGAGAAGTAAATGGAGCATATTTGTTACTTACTGACTTAAAGTATGTTTTATTTTCAGCCCTGCCAAGGTGACCCTACTGGGGTCAGTTATCTTCACATTCCAGCACACAAAGTATCTGGCAGTATCAAGGCATAACCTTATGTTCCTTTATACCATGTTTCTTGTGGTCACAAAGGTAAGAATTCAGAATAGCTATAAATCAGTATTCTAAATTCTGTGTAACCAGAATTCTGCATACTAGGCAAATAACAGGAACGTTTATTTTTTATTGTTATTACAGTCTAAAAAGGTAAATTTTGGGTGGTTTATTCATTGCATCCATGACTTTCTGAAACATAGCTCTTGTATGATTCTTCCTTTGACATTTGCTGAAGCTATCAGGAAAGATTTTCAGATAGTCTAACCATATATTGAAGGCCAAAGAGTAGTGGAAATCGTTATTGCTGATCAGAGACTGAAGACAGCATTGTCTCATTTGTAAAATGAGGTACTTGGGCTAGGTGTTCTCTGAGGTTCCTTTAAGCTTTAACATTTCAGAATTTTATAGTAGGGACATACTTTGCTTAGTTTCTTACTATTGTCTCGTTGGAAGCTTTATTCTGTCTTGAAAATAGGAGGTAGTATGATATAAGATCACAGGTTTTGGAGACAGGCAGTCTTAAGTTCAAATCTTAGCTTTGCTGTCTAATTCTGGAATAGACAAGTCACTTAATGTCTCTGAATCCTGACTTCCTCATCTTCATTGTTTGATTGTTGAGAGGATTGGATGGTGCATATCCTTTTATCACTGTGACAGTCTTAGGAATTTTATTTGCATCATGAGGCTAATTCTGATTATCTACCATTATTAGATATTGTTCCCTATTCAAAAGTAGATACTTGGTTTTAAAATAAGATTATTATTTAAGTGTAGAGGAATTTTATAGCTAACTTTGTCTTAGCCTAGGTATTTTTGGCTAAAAACTTACCTATGGAATTCTTAAAAGGAAAACCATATATATTCTATAAATTTATATCTTATAGTGACTTGGCATTATAGGCATTACTTACCTTTGTTTTAGTAGTCTCTGCAGTGAAAGTGATCTGTGGCTGTAATTTAGGTACTTCAGATATCTAAGGTAGCCTCTTCTTATGCATATTTCTCTTCCAGTCCTCACTTTGTGAACTGTATGTATCTTTTTGTAATCGCTTATTGAGATACGTTATGTACCATACTATTCATCCATTTAAGTGTACGTTTCAATTTTTTTTGTCTATTCACAGAATTGTATAGATGTCACTATAATCAATATTAAAACATTTTCACCACTCCAGAAAAGAAACCTCATGCCCATTAGCAGTCACTTAACATTTTCCATCAGGCCCCTCAACTGTAGGCAACCACTGATCTATTCTCTGTCTATAGATTTGCCTATTCTGACATTTCATGTAATTGACATCATAAATATGTGGCCCTGTGACTTGTTTCTTTTACTTAGTGTAATATTTTTGAGGTTAATCCATGTTATGGTATGTATCAGTATGTTATTCCTTTTTTATTGCCAAATAAGAGTCCATTGTATAGATATTGCACATTTTGTTTATCCATCATTTGATGGATATTTGGGTTGTTTTATTCTTTGGCTAGTATGATAATGAGCTATGAGCATTATTATACTTTTTTTGTGTAGATCCATGTTTCATTTCTTTTGGGTATGTCACATAAAATGGAATAGATAATAAAGTAATTTTGTGTTTAACCTTTGGAGAACTACACACTGTTTTCTATGGTGGTTTGATCATTTTACATTCCCACCAGAAGTATATGAAAATTCTAGTTTCGCATACCGTCATAAATGCTAGTGTCCTCTCATCGTGATTTTGATTTACATTTCCCTGTTCAGTGTTGAGCATGTTTCATGTGCTTGTTTGTACATCTTCTTTGGAAAAATGTCTCTTCAGATCATTTGCCCAATTTTAATTGTTTCATTTGTCTTTTTAATGTTGAATTGTAAGAATTCCTCATATATTCTGGATCCTAGATGCTTATTAGATTTCTGATTTGCGTTTGTTTTCTCCCATTCGGCGGATTGTCTTTTCACTTTCTTGGTAATGTTTTTAAAAATACAAATTTCTAAAATTTTAATGAAGTCAAGTTTACCTATTTTCTCTTTTGTTGTGTATGCTTTTGGTGTCATGTCTAAGAAACTGTTGCCAAATCTAAGGTTAAAAAGATTACGTCTATGTTTTCTTCTACAAGTTTTATAGTTTTAGCTCTAATATTTAGCTCTGTGATCTATTTTGAGTTAATTTTTGGGAATAGTATGAGGAACTTTCAATTCAACTTCATTCTTTTACATTCTGTGGATATCTATTTATACACTCATGTAGATTTCTGTGGATATCTAGTTGTCCTAGTATTATGTGTTGAAAAGACTATTCTTTTCTTCATTGAATTTTCTTGGCACCCTTGCAGAAAAATCAGTTGTAAGTGTAAGAGTATTTTTCTGGATTCTTTTCCCTCACTTTTACTCCCTTCATCTATTTACTTATCCTTCTGCCAGTACCACACTGTCTTAATTATTTTAGCTGTCTGCTTAATTTTGAAATGGAGAGATATGAATTCTCTGAGCGTGTTCTTTCTAAGGATTGTTTTAATTATTCTGGGTCACTTTCATTGCCGTATAAATTTTAGGTATAACTTCACAATTTCTGCAAAGAAGTCCAGCTCATATTCTCTTAGAGATTGCATTGAATCTGCAAATAAGTTTGGGAGTATTGTCATCCTAACACTGTTAAGGCTTTCAGTCTGCCAACACAGATGTCTTTCCATTTATTCCATGTCTTTTAAAATACTTCTTCATTATGTTTCAGTGTACGAGTTGTATGTACACTCCTTTTGTTAAATTTCTTCCTAAGTATTTTATTCTGTTTGATGCTGTAGTAAATGGAATTGGTTTTTAGCTTTATTTCCAGGTTGTACATTGTAAATATGTGGAAATAAAATTTATTTTTTAAAAAGATTTTACTCATTCATTCATTCATTCATTCATGAGAGAGAGAGAGAGGCAGAGACACAGGCAGAGGGAGAAGCAGGCTCCATATAGGGAGCCTGACATGGGACTCCATCCCAGGTCTCCAGGATCAGGCCCTGGGCTACAGGCGGCGCTAAACCATTGAGCCACCAGGGCTGCCCTAAAATTGTTTTTTGATCTTGTATCCTGTAACCTTGCTAGTAAACTCATTTGTTAGCTCTAATAGGTTGTTGTGGGTTTTTTTTGGTGTGGATTCCTTAGGCTTTTATGTATTCAAGATGATGTCATCTGCAAATAGAGATAGTTTTACTTCTTTCTTTTCTTTTTTAAGACTTATTTATTTATTTTAGAGAGAGGGAGAGGGAAAGCGAATCCTCAAACAGACTCCCTGCTGAGTGCAGAGCCTGATGCAGAGCTTGATTCCAGGACTTTGAAATCAGGACCTGAGCCAGGACCAGGCCAAGAGTTGGCCACTTAGCCGCCTGAGCCACTCAGACGCCCCTACTTCTTTCTTTCCAATCTGCATGTCTTCTATCTAATTTTCTTGTGCAATTGCCCACTAGACACACTCTACAGTGTTTAACAGAAATAGAATGAACATCCTTGTCTTTTTCCTGGATCTTAGGGAGAGGCCATTTAGTCTTCCTCTATTAAATATGATACTAACTTTGAGTCTTTCATTGATGCCTTTTATCAGATTGAGGAAGTTTGTTCCCTCTATTCCTAGTTTTTTGAGTGTTTTCATCATGCAGGAGTGTTGGGAGCTGTATCATTTCTGAGATTCTAACTTTAATCTATCTTTAAAGAAAACAAATGCGTATTGTGGATGTATTGGTAAGAATAAGTAGTACCTGTATTTGTTGAATTTTTTTTAATTATAAGGATCAGTTTTTGTTGAAGGCCTGGTTTGTGGAATAAAAATGAATTTTTCTTACAATTATTGCTGGACATATAGTTCTTTATTATAACACCTAAACTTAAACACCATATTGAAATGTGGTAATAATACACAGTATTGAACTTGTCTCATAATATTTCACAACATTTTTCTAATTATCCACCAACGTTTAAATAAAATATGAATTTTAACCCATAAATTTGCCTAAATTCCATTTAGATTTATATTGATTTTTAAGTGACTTGTCTTTTATTTCTGAGTAGCTACTATAGCCTTTCATTTCTTAGATATAAAAAAATGAATATACAGGGAAAAATTTGCCAGTAATTATTTTTCTTTACTCTTTTGCTGTATTCTTTATATAGTCAGTGTGTATAGAAAATGTGTATTGTCTGCTTGTTTTGGATAATAATCTAGTGTTTTGGTGTATACAGATATACTGATAAGGATGATTTCTCTTTTCAAAGAGACTAACTCCCCAAAAGTAAAACAAACACATTTAGAAAGCTAGAAGTATAAAAATAATGAGTTCTGTCAGAGAAACAGAAAGTAAATGTCCCCACCATTGTTCAACCTCTAGTATCTCTTTTGATGTCTTGACCCATTAGCATCCACTCCGTGGTAAGCCAGAGGAAGTCTCTCTCTTGACATGTGCAGCCTAGCCCTAAGCCAAGGACTTATGGCACCATCCCATATAGACATCTGGTGTCTCTTCCCCTCCCTCCTGTGCCTACCCAGTGTCCTCTTATTTGATACCCTGCCCTGCAGATTCAAGTCCATTTAGCTTCACTGACATCAATTTCTACCACCTCAGTTTTAGTTCTAGCTTTCTAATTGAGAAATTGTCCTGAGGCAGAAGTGAGGGTAAATGTGTGGATCAGTTTATCAGTTTCTGTATTCTCCTCATCAGTCTTACACTCTCTGTTGTCCAGTGCCCAAAAGTAGTTACCTCATTTTTTGGTCAGGTTTAAGGTTTTTATGCCTAGAGTCTAGAACTAGTTATTCTATAGTCAAGAAGGAAGTTCCTTTCTACTTACTTGATTAGTCTGTCAGAGACTTTTGTATATTGTTAATCTTTTCAGAGGACCAACTTTTTGGTTTTGTTGTTCCTTAATCATATTGTTTTACATTGCTGTGTCCCACATCACACGTCTTCATGTATATGCATTTATTGTTATTCAGTTTAAATTTCTTTTTTTAAAGATTTATCCATTTATTTTAGAGAGAGTGAGTGCACGCAAGTGAGTGCGGGGAAGGGCAAAA